CGAGAATTCTAATTGGTCTTAAAAAACCTGGAGTCAGATATTGGGGTAGATATCTTCTCTGAAATATCAGAGAAGTAAAGGAGCAGCCAAAGTCTCCTCTTACCTCCACGACTCCTCAGACCTAAAAGGTGGCAAGCTCCTCTCTCTGCCCAGCCTTATCACTTCCTGTCTCCTGACTGTGCAGACCTCCAGACCTCTATGGTTAACTAGTGGCTAGCACCACCCTGTGATCTTCAGGCAAGCTTTATTTGTTAGAGCACAAACAGAGTATCCCCACACAAAACCAGCACTGTCTCAAGAAGTAGGTGGAACTGGCAGAGGAAGACACCCAACATGGACCTTTGGCTTCTACACCTAGCCGTGGACACACCACCCACACACACAAGGGTCTCACCTGTTAATTTAGTGTTCGCCACCAATTTGAGGACTGAAACCTCCAAAAACCTTCTGCTTAGGTGCTGCTCTAAAAATATGGGAGGCTTCATGAATTTGCATGGGTCATCTTTGCCCAGAGGCCAGGCTAAGCTCAGGGTCATTCCACTTCCATGATGTTGTTGAAGCAAGTGTTTATTCATTTACTCATTTTATTTCGAGGCTGTTTTGTTTCCGATCTGTAGGATGGCCTTGAATTCACTATATACTGAGATGGGCTTGAGTTCCAGATTCTCCTATCTTTTCTACCTCCTGGGTGCTGCAATTACAGCTGTAGGTCACCACACATTGTTTTGTTTTTATTTGTGTTTGGCAGACCAAAGAATGTGTTTCAGTATGGCATTTTCATAAATATGTCATTATACTTTGACAGTGTATTTATTTCTTGAATCACTACTTTTAGTTTCAGTTTTTCTTTTTCTTTTTTAAAGATTTATTTATTATGTATACAGTGTTCTGCATGCCAGAAGAGGGCGCCAGATCTCATTACAGATGGTTGTGAGCCACCATGTGGTTGCTGGGAACTGAACTCAGGATCTTTGGAAGAACAGCCAGGGCTCTTAACCGCTGAGCCATCTCTCCAGCCCAGTTTCAGTTTTTCTTAATTTAATACATAAAATAATAATTGGCACAGACTTGCTATAAAGCTCAGGCTAGCCCAGAAAAGATCCTCCTACCTCAGTCTCCCTGGGGTTAGGAGGACAGGTATAAACTCATCCAGTTAGTAGTTTTAGAGTTACTACTGACATGGATTTGACAGGATATCCAAATATTGGAATATTAAGAACAGCTAATATTTATTCAAGGTACTGTTTGCTAATTATTTCCTTTGACACATTGTATGCTCTGTTGTCTCTGAAGTCTGAGATGCCGTCTTTTTCTCTGGAAAATGTACTCTTTTAAAGTTAGATAAAAAAAAAAGAAAGAAAAAAAAATAAAGTTAGATGAAAAAAATCCTCCTAAGGAAAGTTGACCCTTCTAAACCATATTCCTTTATCCAGCACACTTTGGTTGCTCTGTAACCATCTATTTAGGTATCTCTTTCCACTTAGACTATAGGATAAAGATAATCTTTTGCTGGGCGGTGGTGGTGCATACCTTTAGTCCCAGCACTAGGGAGGCAGAGGCAAGCGGATCTCTGTGAGTTCAAGACCAGCCTGGTCTACAGAGCGATTTCCAGGACAGCCAGAGCTACACAAAGAAACCCTACCCGATCTCGGAAAACAAAACAAAACAAAAAGAAGGAAAAAAAGACAATCTTTTATGTGTTTTGGGTCCTCTATACCTACTAATCTCCTGTTTCCTCCCCTAAATATCCCACATTAACTTTTTTTTGGGGGGGAGGGTTTGTAAAACTTGACAGTACCACATACATTCACTTACAGGCTGCTCTTGTTTCTGTGTTGTTTTATTCCATTGTAAGCATGTTTTTGTCAGGTTAGGTATTATCAGTATGTTTTTAGTGGAGGTCACTTGTTCAAGTACCAGAGCCTTACAGGCGCTTTTGGCTTCATCCTCCGTCTCAAGATTCTTTTCACTCTCCCACAGCTGTCAGAGGAAGTGTTGGTCTCTTCTCCAGAGATTCAGGGAACACTCGGACAGTTCTGACAGAGGCTTGGTCCCCGGAAGGATCACCAGCATACTTAAATCTTCACTTGTAGAGTAGTATCATTCAGGAAAATGATCTTAAACCTTTCATTAATTCTACAGGAAGCTTTTTGGCTTATTGTGCGTGTGTGTGTTTCAAAATTAATGGTATTGTGTTTTGTTTTGTTTTTTTCCTGAGACAGGGTTTCTTCTCTTTGTAACCACTCTGCTTGTCCTACTCACTCTGTAGAGCAGGCTGGCCTCGAACTTCTGAATTACTGGAACTAAGGAAAACGAACTTCAGGGGCAAGTTTGAACTAAGACTCTAGCAGGAGACCTCGGGATGGGACTTCAGCTCCTCCCGGAGAACACAGCTCCGGGTTTTGCCTCCAGCTCCGCCCCGCCCCGCCCCGCCTCAGGCGTTGACTCCGCCCAGCTTCCAGGACGCGCCCAGACTTCCGGCTCCGCCGGAGTCAAGGCCGCCAATGGACTCACAGGGCGGCCAAGCAGTCAAGCTTCCGGAAGCGGCCTCTCTATCCGCGAACCCCACTGCCTTGTGGGATTGCGGCGGAATCCGGTGTGCTGGAGAGGTTTTGCAGGGCTCTTTCAGGAACTACGGAAGCCGAGAGTGCCCGTGCAGCCATGGCGGCGCACCTTAAAAAGCGGGTGTATGAGGAGTTCACTAAAGTGGTTCAGGTAAGCTCTGGCAGGAGGGGTCGTGGACCGGTCGGCGCGGGAAGGTTGTCCTCACCCCACGCTGTTCTGCAGACAGGCGCCTAAGCTTGTGTAAGCGGCTCAGGTTCAGGCTCTCGGGCTGCACGTCAGGGGGTGTGTTAGGTCGAGGCCGCTGTGCTCATGTGGAGTCTGCCTTGGTTTTGTTTTTGGTAGTTCTGGGGATAGAATTCCGGGTCCTAAGCATGCTAAGCAAGCACTTTAACCTCTGAGTCACACTCCCAGCCCACTTTGAAAACAAAACAAAACAACAAACAAAATTATCAGGAGAAACAAAGTGCTGTATAATTTTAAAAACTCATCTCCGTTACCTTATTTTAATCTCTCACAGTTTGGTCGTGCCAGATCGGGTTACATTTGCATCCCTCTGTTCTCGGCTGGTGGCAGAATCCCTCCTGACTCTCGTTCCCTACTTTCATAGACAAGGTGGGCTATATGCAAAGCTCCAAGGGGCTGGCCAAGTGGTCTGCAGAATTCAAGCCCCAGACAAAGCCGGTGAGGGTCACAGGACCGCTACACTGTCAGCCTCCCTCGGAGTTTTTTAAGGATAGGTGGACCAAGCTCCTGTCAGAACTGTCAGTGTGCTCTATAGCATGTCTGTAGACGAGGCAGATCTTCATTCTGCATCTCACATTTCCTTATGTGTACAGATACATATAAAATATGATGCAGACTTTTAAAAATTTAGTTTTTATTGTTTGGTAGTAGTGGGATTGAACCTAGGACCTCCTCGTGGATGCTGAGGCCCATGTTCTACCACTGAGCTACAGACCCAGCTCACTTGAGGATTTTGTTAAAATGCAGATTCTGTTCAATAGGTTGGTGAGGTGAGGCAAGATATGCATTTCTGACCAGCTCCCAGTTTATGCCAGCGAATCACCAACATTCCTCGATCTTTAGGCAGAGCAGTACCATTTAGGAAAATGATTCTTTTTATTTTTTATTTTTTTGAGAGACCAGGCTGTTCTTGAACATGCAGAAATCAGCCTGCCTCTGACTCCCAAGTGCCAGGATTAAAGGCATGCATCACTATGTCTGTTGGAAAATGATTATTAAACCTTTTATTCATTCATTAATTCAACAGGAGGGATTTTATTTATATTTTTAAATACTTGAGTGATTTCAGTGTACCATGTATGGTGGGAAGTGTTCGGCTACAAAGTCTAATATGCATCAGAGGGCCTACCTCTTGGGATCACATAGTTGGTGAGCCAGACAGTGCATCTATGTCCCTGGAACTGGAGTTAGACAGCTGTGAGCCACCAGGTGGGTGCTGGGAATTGAACCTGGGTCCTCAGCAAGAACAAGTGATATTAACCCTCAGCCATCTCTGCAGGCCCAACTATTTTTTTTTAAAGACAAGGTCTGAGCCAGGTGGTGGTGGCTCAAGCCTTTAATCCCAGCACACAGGATGCAGAGGCAGGTGGATTTCTGTGAATTTGAGGCCAGCCTAGTCTACAGAGCAAGTTCCAGGACAGCCAGGGCTTCACAGAGAAACTCTCTTGAAAAACAAAAAACCAACCAAACAAACAAACACAAAGTCTCATAGAGCCCAGGTGCCTCAAACTTGCTATGTAGCTGAGGTTGACTTTTAGCTTCTAAACCTGTCTCCACATCCTGGTTTGTGCAAAGCTGGGGATTGAACCTAGGGACCTGAGCATGCTAGGCATTACTCTACAAACTGAGCTACATTCCCTGCAGCCTCTTATAATAGCTTTGACTGAGAGTTGGCGTTAATATTTTGTTGTTCCTTTCTGTGAAATTAGTTCTGAACTTTGAATGAATCAAGGGTCAGAAAGCTTGTCAGACCTGCATCTGGGGCTTCCTTTGGGATTTTCTGGCTCTGTATTCCTCCCTCTTTCCTCCTCCCTCTCTTCCCTTTCTTCATTAAAGATTTATTTTTATTGGTGTGTATGTCTGTGTGAATGTATTCCATGTGTTTGCATGCCTGTGGAAGCCAGAAGAAGGTGTCAGATCACTGGAGCTGGAGTTAGACAGACAGACGTATTTGTGAGCCACCTGACCCAGGTGCGGCTCTTAACCAGTAAACCATCTCTCTAGCCCCACCATATTTTCTTTCTGTTGTAAATATAGGTATCGTAAGCTTGCCAGCTTAGCAGGGTTTCTTTGTCTGTCTGTCTGTTTTGCTTTCTTTTTTTAAGGTAGAGGCATTCAGAGCATTTACATTGTTGTATAGTGTCACTTCTCTCCTACGTTCCTTTTGTAGCATGCCATGTTTCTACACATCTCTGAACTTTTGTAGTTGTCTATTTTATACAAAATGTATGCCATTCTTCATTACTTCTTATCCTATACTGAGTGGCCTTGTGTTTTTGCTTCACGACTTGATTGAAAATTCAACAAGAGGTTAGTTTCTTCTGCTGCTTCCATGCTACTCTGTTGTGCTATTTGATCTCATCACCCTGCACTGCTGTACTTACCTGTGTGAAGCTCAGTCCTAATAAGTCTTAACAATAGAAACCCAGAGTCAGATATCGAGGGTGAAAGCTGAAAGATCAGAGAAGCAGAGCAGCCAGCCACTAGAGAGTTCTTACCTCTGCCAGTGCTCAGACTGAATCCTGTTTCAGAATGGGGCAGAGATCCTGTCTCCATTTCCCTAGTTCTAGGATTAGAGGTATGAGCCTCCCATGTGCTAGAATCAAAAACTTGATCCTCTCAAGTGCTGGGATCAAAGGCATGATCACCCAAGTGCTAGAATCAAAGGCATGATCCTCCCTAGTGCTGAGATCAAAAGCTTGATCCTCCCAAGTGCTGGGATCAAAGGCATGATCCCTCCCAAGTGCTGAGATCAAAGTCATGATCCTCCCAAGTGCTGAGATCAGGTGTATGCTACCACTGCCTGGCCTCTATAGTTAACCAGTGGCTAGCTCAGCCCTCTGATCTCCAGGCAAGCTTTATTTGTCAGAAC